CCACTGTCAAAGAAAAGCTGCTGTCAAGCCACATTGAATTTTTCAAATTTATTTATATACATATATACTATATTTGTGTATTTGACCTCAACTCAGGGTAACATTCTTTGCTCCATCAGGATTTCACTGAATTTTTCTTGCAGTAGGCAAAGCCAGATGCATATCCAGGAAAGGCTGGAGGCTGTCAGGGCATGTGATGGTAAAATGCTTTATATTTATGAAAGATACTGTAGAAAAAAAACTCCAGAGAATTAGCCTTTCTTGTAGTTTCAGTGTTTATCACTTGACTTGCTTCCAGTTGTGAGTTATGCGATGGATTTTCTTATATTTGAAGGACTTGTATATTTTATTCTCACCTGTACATTGAAATTCTGTGGGTGAACTGTATATTTGTACCTTTTCCCCCAATCCCCCAAAACTACTTGTTGTTATGCTATCCAGGCCAATTCTTGAAATTCAGGTTTACATATTTTAGGGTGCAAGGCTAATTTTTTTTCTGTGACTTTCTAAAACACTTAAATTTTTGAATTCTAGCTAGAATTAGAAATAATTTCAGAGAACATGGTAGGGTTTTTGTCTTTTTTTTTTTTTTTTTAATTTCTTCCCAGAAAGCTGGAATATTTTGAATGGTTATTGCTAAAGATTATCACAGTAAAAAAGATTGTATAACAAGACTCAAATATTTGTTAATGATGAGTTTATTGCTGCTAGTCTGCTCTGAGCTTGTAGAATGGATCTACTCCCTGTTGTTAAGTGACAAACAGGTTGTTGATGCCAGCCTGGGAAACAGATGAAATGGGAATAGGGTGGTGTATCCATGGGACTGGAGATGCTGTTACAGAGCCAGGGAGAGGGAAGGATGAACTCTGATATCTCAGAGCAGTAATAAAAGTGCATCTGTCTTAGTAAGTCACAAACTTTGTTTTCCTCGTGGCAAAACCCCACTGATGTTTTGTAAGACCATCCTCTACTGAGAACAACTTGGAGCAGGCTGCCCAGGGAAGTGGTGGAGTCACCAGCCCTGCAGGTACCTAAAAAATGTATAAATATGGCATGTAAATGGTTTAGTGGTAGAAATGGCACTGCTTGGTTAACAGTTGAACCCAGTGGTCTTAATGGTCTTTTCCAACCTGAACAATTCTGATTCTTCCTTTCTGTGGATTTTCTTGTCTGTGTTTGAATAGACTCTAGACTCCTGCACCTCTACAGTTTGGTAAGTGGTTATGGAAATTAATTTCTCTAAGGGAAAATGAAACTTCAGGCACATATGATATAAAGCTTGAAAGCTAGTTTGCTTGCTTTTTTTGCTTGACTGGAATTTTGTCATCGAAAGGATGTGGAAAGTTCACTTGAGCTTCAAGGGTTTAATTAGCTTCATTGGAGCTATGTGCTTGTATCAGTAGGGAAATATACAGAAGCATGACTGTCCCCTTTTTGATTAAATACAAACCTTGCATTAAAAAAATATCAGTTTGCAGGAATTTACTTTCCTTTATTTACTGACCCTGGTTCTTATTGCCTTGCATATATATATATATATATAAAAAATCTTGACTTTGCACAGCTTTCTTTAAAGCCCCTTAATAATACTGCTCATACCTGAAAGCTGTAGTATCAAAGTCAATAGGTGAAATATTAGGAAACTTTAATTAACAAAGACTTTTAACTTATTGAGTAACTCCTGTAACTGGTAGGATTGGGACTGCTGTCTTTTGACTTCACCTAGGATGGGAAGAGCATCTGTCCTGCTGCTACCATGCCTTCAACCTGCCTTTCAACCAACACTTCTGGGTTTGGTGTAGCTTTAAGTGCTCTTGGCTTCCCAATTCACAGGACAAGCTGTTCAGTACTTAACTGTATTTATTATTATCAAAGACCAATACAATTTATCAAGAATAATTTTCATCTTTCCATTGCCTGAATGATTTGGCAGAGTATGGGAATGAGCTTAGAAGGGTGAGTATTCAGAATTAAATTGCATACAGACCACCTGAGTGCTGGGTGACCCCACTGGATTGCCCTTGCTGTATTAACAAAACTTTTTCTCCTTCAGTTGTGCTACAAACTGTGCCCCATTTGAGACAGGTAGCAAACCCCAAAGATTTTCCCTTTTAAACCACTGAATTGATAACCTGAGCTTTCTAGCTGCAGCAGGTGGCACATTCAGCACAGAATTTTCTGTCTAGATAGGGACACTTTGTATTCCCACCCTAAAGAAAACAAACCCCCTAGTACTCTGCATTTAAAGATTTGGGTCTTTTCATTCATTGATGCTTTATTCCTGTAAGGTCCTGGATACCAAAATTACTCAATCGAAAATGGAACAATGACTTGACTTTGTGTGTGGTTTCTATTTTGCTGGTGAGTTTCAGGTCTTTGTTTAATGTACATTCCTGCCTATCTCCAATTAGGAGAAGTCTTCATAGCATATTGGCTTCACTTTCATGAAGCAGTTCAGGAAAGTATAGAAATCCTGAAAAATGTACTTCATGCTCTATGAAACTGAGGTATGGTGTAATAAAACTTCTCCTCCTGATGCTGAAAAGTTATGGAGTGATGGGGCTTGGGTGGTGGGTCTGGGTTTGGTTTTCTTGTTACTGCTGTGGTTTAATCGCTTGGATTTTGAGACCACAATGATAATAGCGGGCTCAGCTTTCCTCCTCCATGAGAAACCTCTCGGGCAGCCTTGCAGAGGTGCTCCCTGGCAGGGCTGCCCCGTGTGAATGGCTGTTCCAGAATCCCAGGGTGGAATGGGAGATCTCTGCGGGGCGCGTTCCCACAAGAACACAATGAGCCACTTTGTCAGCCCGGAGTCAGGTTAGCGGGGACGGCGACAGCAGCGGAGTGTGCACTGCACAAAGGTGTGCTGAGACCTTGTTGGAAATGGGATTTGGTATGCAGGCTTTTCAAGACCTGCAGATTGATATGATAGATAGCCTTTTTTTTTTTTTTTTTTTTTTTTCTGCTTCGTAGTTTAATTAGGGGTAAAAAAAAAAAAAAATCCCCACCCCATTGATTCCAGTAGATTCCCCATTGCACAGGAACTCCAGGAGAGATAACCAAGGTCTTTGTGGTATTATTGCAGAGAGATTATTATTTGAGAGAGCAGAGTTGAAGGGGAGGGTATTTATCGACAAATGCTGTGCTTATCAACCTATAACCATGATTAATACTTTGGCTATTAAGTGGAGGAAAAGAGCAAATAGATAAAGCATACCTGTGCCTTATCTGAATTTCACCTTTGTGTAAGAACGTCTCTTTGCATAGAGGTTCTGCCCGTGTCCCTGGGCACGTTCTTGGGCTTGCAGCCCTGATCTGGGGGAGTTCAGTATTTAATAAAAGTATTTAGAATGTGTAAAGATGTACTCTAGTTTAAATGTTTGCAGGATCAGGGCTCAATTTGTAGACAGGTGTAGGTCTGGACTGAAGGGAGTTTTTCCTCATACAAATGGCTTCAAGCAAATATCACATTATTCCAATTGTGTTTAAGCTTACTGAAGATTTTGCTGGACCATGTGACTTTTACTTGCAAATTGGTTTTGTCAGAGGCAATGCAGAGTGCAGAGAACCTGAAAAGGGTGATCATTTAGTTAGGAAGTGTGCAATGTTGTCTCTGCTCTTAGGGGACCAACTTGTGCTCTGGGTGGAGGGAGGGTTCTTGGGCCACTGCCATCCTCCTCTCCTTGCCCTGGCAATGGGGAACCACAGCTGAAGAGCTCTGTGCTTTCCTGCTGACCTGTGGAGAGGCAGATGTCATCAGAGAATCACAGAGTTGTTTGAGTTGGAAGGAACCTTAAAGCTTCTCATTCCACCCCCTGCCATGGGCAGGGACGCCTTCCACTATCCCAGGCTGATCCAAGCCCCATCCAACCTGGCCTTGGGCACTTCCAGGGATCCAGGGGCAGCCACAGCTTCTCTGGGCACCCTGTGCCAGGGCCTCCCCACCCTCGCAGGGAAGAATTCTTCCTAATTAAGTAACCTAAGTCTACTCCTGTTTTGTCCCCATCCTGTTTCAAGTGAGGTGTGGTCTTCTAGAAAAGCACAGAGATGCTGAGTGCAGTTGGGAGTGTGTTGTACAGTTGGCAATTAAACAGCACCCAGAACTCTCTTAACTCAAATGTCTCGGAGGGTGGAAAAGCAGGAACAAATTAGTTTGAAATGTTAATTGCTGCTTGTATTTTTGAAAGTCCATAAAATAATTTCCCTTGAAAAGAGAAAAAAGTTTGAAGTAGTTGCTATTTTAAAGCCAAGTAATGCCAAAAACAACAACACTAAAAATCATGGTAAAAAAGTAATTGGCCACTATTTTGCAAGAAGAGTTAAACTCGGCCTATGCTGCTTAGAAGAATTACTGTGAAATAGTGTGAGAATTGTGTGCTTGAAAGCTTCTTTGCAGCTACATCCCTTGTGAGTCTCTTTATCTGTTGTGATTAATACGGAGGAAGGTGAGGAAAGAAAGGTGTGAGAACCAAGAAGGAAAGGAATATAAATAGCAAAAATGACTAACTTAATTTTCAGATTGAAGAAAAAGCACAGAAAAATCCACATGGTGAGAGTGAGTAGTATACAAGTTGTCTCTGCAGCTTACTCTTCTGCCAGCAGTGCAGGCTGTAGCCGTGGTGTGTTTGCATGTTTTGGAATTGATTTTTGAGCAGCAGATGAATTTGCTGCTCTAATACTATTTGCAGAAGCGAGAATGCTGTGGAACCATTGGATTAGCTTGTCTGCCTGTGGCTTTCTGCTCAGCCATGGCTAATATAAGCCTAATAAAAATTTTTGAAGGTCTGTTTCACCCTTGGTGTATTTTATTCCCTTAAATCTAGTTCCACTAAGTTTGCACATGAATATGATGGCCTTCAGGCACTGCACACCCCAGCTATGGGTGGTGGTGGGAGGAGGGCAAGCTTGCTTTTCCTACACGAGTTTTCACAAGATGTCCCCCTGGAAAGTGAAGGGGAAAAACCCCTAGTGGGATGAGTTTTTTCTTTGGAAAAAGACTTCTTTGTGTGCCAGGTTGCTTTATTCCAATATTTCATCAGAGCTATTATCTGCTGATTAGTTGCACTTGCCTTGTGAAATAAGATACTGCAGTTTGATCTCATATCTCCATTCCTGATGCTCCTTTCTGGTACATGTTTGAAGTTACTTGGTTATTCCATTTCTTCCCAAGGTTAAGCTAGGAACCAATTTTCAATAGTTTTTCTGTTCCTGAATGACGAACGTTTCCTATGAGGGGTGTGCAGCTGGTTACAGTGCGAATTTGTTGTTCTTTAAGATAACGGAGTTTCAAGCCTGGAAAATTTGAGGTCGAATTTTAGGTCTGAATAAATGCAAGCTACTGAAAATCTTCATATCATTACCCTCTGGATTGCTGCCTGGGGAATATAACACCAGTGTGGGGGAAAAACAATGTTAACTTTCCTTGATCCTGTGTAGAATTGAATACTGTTGATAATTCCATCTTCAGAGATGGAATGTATCATGCCCACTGAAATGTGTTGTTGGTTAAAATAAACTAGAGGGGAATAAACCCACTGATTAATTACAGTGGTTAAGTTTTGAGAGGATGTTTATATTTTTCAGCTTGCTGGAGATAGGATCCAGCTACTGTGGCCTTGTGCCTGTGAAATGGCACAGAGAGCAAGCAGCAGGCATTTCACTACCTCTTCTACAATGCCAGTGGATTGTGTGTATATATTCCCTCTAATCTGCTTTCTTTTGTCATAACAGATTTTTAGAATTGCATGTATTTCTTCAAAATTGTTATGAAGAAGCCCGTCTGTTTGGATGCTTCCAAATTAATCTACCGTGTTTGTAATTAAACAGAGAAAGAATGTGTTCAGGTTTCAGTGGCGCTTCAGACGGATGTGATTTAACTAAACTAATGAAGGCACATCAGACAAGACAAATTCCAGACTGTTTGTGCCTTGACCAACCATCTGTGCACATACCTCCAGGTACTGCTCATGTCTCAAGAGGCTTTTCTACATGAACAGTTATTACCACTCCTCTTTGAATTGGAGTGGCAAGCCATGGCAGGAGTCTCTTGAAAGCAGCTGTATTTACCACTCTCCTTTTCAGTGAAAATAAAATTGTGTTGTGTATGTTTTAATTAATCCTGAATTTCAACGTGTGCTGTACAAAATGCAGCAGGCAAATGGGGCAGTGTGTGAGTTCTTGCATCTCTTGCACATAAATTCCAGCATCAGCAGGAATGTGCAGAAGGAGCACTCCTCATTCAGAGCCTTCCTAGTGGGCTGTAAACCCATATTAAATTCTTAGTGTCTGAGAATGTGTGTACAAATAAAACTATGTATACTTACTCTCCTTGTATATACTACCATTTTTTTCCTAGTTATTTTTCTTTCTTATTCAAAAGATTATTCAAAACTACTCTGGAAAAACGCCCATTTCTTCTATATAATAATCAGCAGTAACATGATTTGACATGCCAGACTTTGATAGAGTTCTTCAATTGCACATGTAATGGCCTGAAAAATAACAAATAATTTCAGGACTATTTCTCTTTATGGAAGAAGAATAAGATATGCTGTAGCTAATGGCCTTGTGAATACTAAATTTTATTTTTTTTTTTTAATTCTCATTGTATTTTATTGTATAACTTTTTCAAAGTGAGTTTTTGTCTAGAAATATTTTGAGTCTTCCCTGTTTTCAGGGCCTGATGTGTTTGACCTCTCAGTGTGTCATGTGAGACTCCCTTTGACATGAACCTGTGATTCCATACATATTTTTTAACACCGTGGCAAAGTCCTTTTAAGCAATTCCTCCTTCCTGTTGTCCTGTTTATAACAGCACAAACGTTTGAGGGTTGGTGCAGTGGATGGGGAGCTCTCCTGTGTTCACATGAGCTGTGCAGGCAATACTGGAGGTTTTGGGCTGGCCATGCTGTTAGGATGTGGTTTGGAGGATGCAGATCAGATATCACCAATCCTTTCCTTTTTGGGTCAGAGAACTGCCAATTTCTGAACATCCTCACTCTAGAACCTGGTCTGCCAGAGAAAATGACTGACTGGGGAGAGAAACAGTTGCCTTGTGACTGCTGGTCAGCAGGGCAGTTATCAGACTTTGGCTTTTGATAACAGCAGAGCTGGCTTTGCCCATGGTTGTAAATACTAAGGAAGCTCCTGCTGGGTTGGATTATTTCTCTGGCCAGTGCAGCAGCCTCTGTGCAAGAGGAGCTCACACAGCCCATTCAGCATGGTTGAAGAGGAGTTCCTGTAGTACATGTATTAAAATAGTGGTAGAAAGGAGTCTGTTAGACTGTGTAACCCTGTGCATGTACCATCTGTGTGTGAACTTCATCACGGGGAAGTGGTAAGGGGTTTTTTTTAGGCTGGAAAGAGCAAGTTCTTCCATTTTAAGTTTATACTGTGTGTGTTTCAAGTATTTTTTAAATCAAGGCTAGGATTGAAGGTGGGGTAGCTTCTTATTCTTTTTGCAGTCTATTCTATTCAGGCAGGATACCCCTACCTATGCACCGCAGGAATAAAACGTGTGTTTAGCAGTGAATTTCAGTTGTATATTAAATAAACCTGGCTACGTGGCACTACTTAGTATTGAAAGCTCTCTGTCCTTGTTGTAGTACAACTTCTGTAATCCCAGATGATTGTGATAAAAAAGCAGAACACTTTGTTCAGGAGCTTTTAACGGTCTGCTGCAGGGAAATAAAAATCAGGTCTTTGTAAAGAGCAGTCACAGGACTCAATATTCACAGCTCCTCTTGCTTCTGCCAGGTTCTCTGCATTTGTCTGCCATAGCTGGAAGAGGTTCTTTGGCTTTTACAAAGACAGAAGGTAGGAAGAAAATCACAGAAAGAAAAATGTTCTTGGCTTCTATCCCTATAAATAGCATGGGTGAAATCTTCTAGGAAAAGCAGAGTTGGGTATCTTGATGTGGTTCACACTGCTTTTGGAATTTCAGGAAAACTGACGTAACCTGTTGGGTCATGTTATTTGACCATACATGGACATTGGGTTTTAGATAGTTACGCTTTATTATTCTGTGTATTTTAATTTTCTCTCTAGTGCCATGTGCAACTAATTTATGCATTACTTATTCACATATTGAATTAATTTAAGGAAATGGAGTCATCTCGGGGATCAGTAGAAGGCTGCATTTCTGAATTGAAAATCAGGTTTGCAACAGTAACTTGCAGACATCAAAAGATTTGGAAGTTTTGTTTGGGGACAGAGACATCAAACTTGGATGTTTATTTCTTCCTTGCTTTACAGCAAAGTGGAAAGCTGTGATTTCCATATTCCTGGAGGAAGCTAGACAGGGAGATGCAGCCTCTCACTCCATGCTGGCGTTGTTGTGACCTGTCCCAGCCAAACCTAGGGAATGTAGACGCACAGGAAATATCTTTTTAAAATTTAAATATAGTCAGCTTTCTAGACAAAACCCCAAACTTGAGTTAGTACCTGAAAAAGAGGCTGTGGGTTAGTATCTGGCAGTTCATATTTTAGCTAAGGAAGAATTCTCATATCCTGGAATGTGACCTGGCTCTTTGAGTCGTGTCTGATGTTTTCTTCCATCAATGTTCCCAATTTGCAGGAAGAAGAAACTGTTTGTGTTCAGACCTCACTTTCTTTGTATTAATCAGCTTTACATCCCCTGGGGGAGGAGGAACTGGGCTTTAGGAGGGGTGTGAATGCACGGCTAATAAATCTATTCGAAGTAGGATGGATGAACAAATAAGCTGAAAAGTGTGTGAGGGCTGTTTCCAAAGGGTTTGGCTTTGCAGTGAAGTCTGCCAGTCTCATGGTAGATGTCTTAACTCTGCCTGGAGAGCATCTTTGTGAAATACTGCCAAAAATTCCTGCCAATGGCCGTACTTTTTAGCCAATACTGCTGCTGGTATCATCTCTGGCGGGGCTGTACCAGACCTGACAAATAGAGGAAGCCCTTTTTTATTTATGTTTTCTTGTTCTTTTGTTTTTTCCTTTCAAGCGAGACAAGTGTAGACATGGCTGTAGTGACAAACCATTAATAAAGCAAAAGGAATGTATCTGCAACACTTTAAATAATGACACGTAGCAAATAAATGTCAACATATTCGTTGTTGTGCCTGGAATGGAAATATTACCAGGAAAATATGTTGCTTCAAGCTACAGTATGGGGTTTCTTTTCCTCAAGAAAATAGTGTCAGTGTGGTGCTTAAACTGTTAAAGCTTGGCTTTCAGATTCAGATTAAATGAACATGTCATTTGTTTGGGGATTGGGGTTTTGTTTTATATGGGTTTAAAACAGTTTCTACGAATATTTTGTTCTTTACAAATATATTTTAAATGTTAATTATATGTATTTGCACACACAACTATAGATGCATAAATAAACTGCATGTATAGCAAAAATAGTTGGAGGTACAACTGGCTATTGACTAAATCAGTCTGTTTCCATTGAAGACTGTTCATTCATGTGCTCTCTGGTGTTCATTATTGGGCTCTTGCAGTCCTTTTCTTAATCCCAAGAAGTTAAGAAATGGCTCAAAAACCTCACATATTCTCTTCTTCCTTGTTGAACAAACAGAACCCCCAAAAGTGGAATTGCACTGCCCCACTTGTCATCCTCCACCCCTGAATCCCAACACCTGTGAATGTTGTTGTTGGACTTGGATCTTCCTTGAATTAAAACCTGAAACTGTGAAGTAATGAGAAACAAAAGCTTTAGGATGTATCCTAACAACAGCAACTGTATCTCAGGCTTCTGGAGAAATTCTGCCCTGTAATTGAGTCTTGGATAAAAGGAGGGATTTAATTTAAAGGTGGATGAAAATATATTGCCTCTGTTTATAGCTTGGTGAAGTGATGATTTAAAAAATGGTGTTTTCTCACAGATGAGAACAGTGGAAAGAGCTGTGAGAGTTGTGCTAAATTTGGTACTGCGTTAAATTAAAATGCTGGTCTTGAGCTGTGTGGCTGGAGGTCACATTTCCAGGTTTGCACGTCTTCTGAACAACCCATGCACTTTGTCTTCTGGTTCTGCTTAGATGTGAAGGGGCCCTTTTGATGATAGTGAAAAGACAGATGTGGTTCAGTCTGTGTGGGCACTACCATCACTTCTAAATCACACAAGGGCTCCTCCTCAGGAGCTGGAGGAGCAGCTCTGGGTCAGGCTGATGTTCCTGATCATGAGGCTGTGCAGGTGATGGGATTGCAGTGAGCTCTGGAAGAGGTTGATGAAAATGAAGACAGTGTGTTTCAACTGAACTAATAATTTAGTTGTTGAACTAAAAAAGAAAATAAAAAAATGAAGTCTAGCAGCATTTGGGGCTGAGGGGATATAAGATTTGCAGCATCCAGCATCCATGGAATGGGATGGCTCAGTCCTTCATCCCCTCTGGAGCCAGCTGAGTTAAACTCCTGGTTTATGGCTCTCTAGTTGTGTCCCGTGCTCTTTGCCAAAAATTCCCTTTTCTGTACTCTGGTCTACTCTGATCAGCATATTTTACAGCATATTTTTTTTTTCTAACTTGAATTTGGGATGTATACGAAATTATTCAGGATGACTTTGGGGTTCTCTGGCATGAGGGGTACTAAGGAGGCTGCTGACCATGGGACTTGTGAGGTTGCTTTGCTTTGGAAAGACTTGTTGTGCAGAGGTCTAGATAAGCTATGTAATGAGATCACCCTTTTTATTCACTGGAGCTGTGTTATTGCCCCATAAACCAGCATGATGATACCTTTACCACTGAACTAAGACTTGTTTTTACAAGGCAGCTTCTCGTGGTTTTACTGATGCTCACGTATCACATCACTTAGCTGTGAAAGGGGGAGGGTGTGCTGGAAGTGATGTGTGATTTTTCACAAATCCTTACGTGATTTCATCATTTTCTGTTGCCCTTCCCAGAACGGGGTGTTCAGAACATTGAGGATGTGCTGTCCCTCCTGCTCCAGCTGAAGCCTTAATCCTTTTGGGTCATGATTAAGTGGAAGTCAGGTGTCTGGTCTTTGTTTTGTAGTGGCAGTTCACACTGTTTACAGGGCCCTAGAAAGAAAATAAAGGTGTTTGGCTTTGAAGTGTGGCTGTTGAGCGAAATTGCTGTGACATCTTAACCGTGCATAGTTCCAGGAGCTGTGGCTGCAAGCAGGGTGGTGATTTAAGAGCAAAACTCTGTCTCAGAACCTGCCTATTTCAGCAATGAGAGCTGAGGTTTATAATTGTGGGAAAGAGTGGAAATTTGGCTAGTTGGTTTTTGGAATTCTTGCATGGAAACTTGACTTCCCATGCTCTTCATCTAAGAGTTAAAACCTCTGTTCAGAGCTTCCTGTACATCTGTCACAAAAGCAGGGCTCAACTTAAATACCTGAATGGCAGGAGTACCTCCTGAAGTTTACAGCAGGGTTTCTGCAGGCTCCTTACCTGATGTTTTGTCTTGCAGGAAGTCCGTTGAGGAGAATTCTCCATGAATGTACGTCACAATGATGATGACCGACCAAATCCCGCTGGAGCTGCCGCCGTTGCTGAACGGGGAGGTGGCCATGATGCCTCACATCGTCAATGGCGATGGATCACAGCAGGTCAGACCCTGGCTGCCCCAAACAACCTCCTTCTGGGGCAGCAAGATATTTTTCACTTTGGGGAAAATGGTTTTGGGTAGCACTAGGGAGCGCAGGGCATTTCCTGGGATGTAGAAATCTGCCGTAGCGCTGGAAAGACATTAAAAACAGTGATTAAAGTGTACTGTTAAATTGAGTGTATTTGTTTGCATGCGTGTTCATTGAAGTAAAAATAGTTGAATTTAAACAGTGGTTATAAATGCTGCATATCTGAGGGCTTTGCAGAAAGTTAGTTTTACGATTTACTTGTGCTCACTCTTGTCCAGATATCTTACATTTGTGTGGGATTTTAAGTTTTTAAAAATGCTGAGAAGAGGAAAAAGTGGACGTAAGAAAAGAAATGGAGAATAGCAGTGATGTCTACTATCCTTTGCTTACCTGAATATACTTTTCCCAGCAGTGTACTACCCTGTGCTTCATTATAAGAAGCAGATGTGAATTTTGAGTGGGTTTTTGAACAAAGGCAAGTTTACAGTTGCTGTTTTTGTTGTCTCTGGGAGATAATCTCTAATAAGCTTGATCAGAATGATCATAAGACCACAGCGATGCCTTCATGTCACGATATAGCCTGGAGGTTCAAGCTGGTGGGTGGTAGGTTCCCAAATATGTCATCTGGGGTCATGGTGTCTCTATGGAGAACATCCACCCTGGCAATATCTTTGTGTTGCTCAATTTGGTTCCCTCCTCAGATGAGATATTTCAGCAAAGTATTGTAATGAAGGTAGAAGCAAGCTGTTCTTCTTGAATCAATATAAAAGGTCGTTCTGTTACTTCTTGTTCCCTGGATCATTTGTTCCTCCTTGCAAGCTGTGTTTTGAGCTAGACCAACCTCAAGAGGAAGAATAATTTCTGCTTTCCATGTGAGCTTCTAAATCTTTTTGGTTATCTGGACTCTCATTTTGATGTAGATTTTCATTGTTGTGCTTTGGTGTTTGTTTTTTTTTTGTTTTTTTTTTTTTAAGTAATTTTTACAAAGTGTGCTTTGACTCGAAAAAAAGAATGCTTTCAGTGGCCGTATTTACCAAGTCCAATGTTAGGCTTAGATGAAGGAACAGTCTTATTCATACTGGAAAGGATAATTGTTCTTTAAGTATACATTTTCTTCCTTGCTGGAAGAACTACTTATCAGGTCAGACTGTCCTGTCAGTGGGTCCTTCTGTATTACAGAAAGAACAAGCGAATTGTTCTGAGCCCTCCTTTGAGATGGTGCTCTAAGCCCAAACTTTCAATTTCCCCACCTTTGATGATTCAGCAGCCTGGCTTGGCAGATGCCTCTGTTGCCTTTAAAGTAGTTTCTCAGCTAATGTTTTGCATTAAAAAGCATTGCAGGTGCACTGGAAGCACATTGCTTCTTGCTCTTGCTGTGTTATGCAATCACGACTCAGTCGAACAGTTCTGGGCCAGGTCCCTCTTCTGTGTTTGCTGGATGATGCTTTTAGATCTCATCCCCTTATCTCTTGAAGTGCCTGTAGCTGAAATGCCAGTTTTCTATAGAACTTTTTTTGGCCTCTAGTCTGGATGTGCCCTCATCTGTTGCAAAGCTTAACTACCTCTATGCTTCATCATTTTCATCCTTTTCCTGAAAAGTTTGGGTGATGTCTTTGCTTTTAAAAAGTACAGTTCTAAAATTGGAATGGAATTGGAGTAAATGCTTTCTTTAATCTTTGCAAATGAACTATGTTAATTGCTCTTAACATGGTTTGTTGTAAGGTGGAAACAAATGTGAAGTGTTTGTTGAAAGAGATTTATTTTAGGTACTTGTAAGGTGGGAAGAGCCTGCAGGATAGATTCACATAGGAATGACTTCCTTAAGAAAGGTGGTTTATATGACTGCATAAATAGGTTCTGGCTTTAGGAGGATACACATCTACAGGGTGTAATTACAGTCTCCATTAAAGCTCACAGCAGAGCTGGTGGAAGATGAGGTGTGTGGAGTTCCCCAGGCTGCAGTGGCCAGCAGGCAGCCCAGTGCTTTGGGGCTGACAGAATGGAGGTTCTGATGGGCTGCTCTGGGCACCCTGGCTGCTGCTCACCCTCATGTGTTACTGGATTTGTGAAACCTCAGCTGTGCCAGCACCACAGAGCTGCGTTAGGAGCTGTGCCTGGAAATGCTGAGCTCCAGGGAAAAGCCTTTCCTCAAAAGACCCGTTCTTATACATGTAGGATAAAGCAGACTGGAGCTGGTGAAACACCTTGGCCTTGCCAGCAGCCAGCTGGAGAGTGATGCAAAAGGCAGATCTGCCAGTGAGCAGCCCTGCAGTGTAAGGCAATTGCATGGGAACATGCCCTTGCTTTATCTTCTGAGAGTAAGGGCTGCAGGAATGTCTCTGCCTGCTTGACAGTAATCCCTCTCCTCTAGACTACCCAAAATGGCATTTCTAGCACTGACTTTTTTTCTTTTTGTAGTTTCCCACACTTTATTTCCACTGCTGCTGATTGTATTTAATTCTTTCATGTTGCTTCCAGAGCTGTTTCTGCTTCTAATCCACTTGTAACTCCTTAGGGGATTCAGGGAGCAATAATTAACCTTTTGGTCCAAGAATTTCAGTGGTTTCCTGTAGGTACTCCACTGCAAGCTCTAAAAAGCTTGGAGTATAAAGTGGAGGGGCAGCTAGCTGTGCTACAGCACATCTGTACAGAATGTTGGGCTAATTAGTTGGGGAAATTTTATTTCAGCTTGGTTCACTCATTGCACCTGCAGAGGTGCAGCAGGTTTTCTGCTTGCCTGCTCTTTGTAAAGCTGTGTTTACCAACCCTGTGGTTTCACCACTTGGCTTAAGCTTAGGCACTCACATAGTGCTGTGTGTGCTTGTTCTTGTCTTTTAGGGTCACAGGCTTTCAGTGGGGGAGACAAGAGTACAGCTGAATGAGGAACAGGATTTGGTACTTTCCTGTAGCATAACAAGTCTGTGCACCTTGCAAACAACTGAAGGCACTTTAGCTGGGTTTTATACAGAGCCACAGCATTTGAACTGAGTGAATGAACTTTCAGCCAAAATTTAGTTATTTTTTATGGTTTCTTGATTTATTAATTTATTTTATTTTTATTGGTTCTTTGGCATGCATGTTTTAAGGTTTGATAAATTAGGAGGTTCAGGATCTGCTGCTTCTGGGTTTTGTTGTAAAGAGCACTCGTGGTAAACTGACTGAATTACTTCATGCCTCTGTTAATACCTCTACTTTTTGTCCAGTCAAAAAAAGGTTAAGGATAGACACTGTTTTTGAAGTATTCATTTTAAAAAGTCAGCTTTATTGTTTAAGATGTAGCGTGTTCCCTGATTTTTCTTACTGAAGAGATTCTGAAAGTGTTTAGCCTACCTGCTCTGTGAGCTGAGGGATGTGTTCCTGAGAAGAATATTGCACACAGAATGGTGTGAGTTCCCTGGTCCTTCCTCTGGGATTCTCTTGGAAATTTATTGGGGCACAGTCTTTTAAAATAGATAATTGAATGGATACAAGTGATTGTTTTGTTTTTCTGTGTTTTGTGGTTTATTTTCTTTCCCCAAAAGATGCAATGCATTCCCTAAGTTATGTCCTGTAGAAATCGTAAATACAATCCATTTTAATGGTTTAAAGCAGTTGTGAGGAACCTGTGACTGGATCCCAGGTGTTGCCAATGATGTTGTGTTCCCCAGCTGTATGAAGCATGATGCATCTCATGGAAGGGGAAATTCACCACACTGGAAAATGTTTTAATGTGGGGTTTTAACAAGCCTTAGTCCTGCAAGCAGCTCTTTGACCTTAGTGAGGAAAATGCTTTAGGTGTGCTCTGAGACTGAATTGCATCACATGGATTCAGGAGAATGTCATCCTGCTCACTGTGAGAGGCCACAGAGCAGCTGGAGGATGATGGCCTGCCTCCAGTGTGAATTTTCTTCTGTGGGCTTCAACTCTTGTATAACTAAACCAGCAGTGTACGAAAGAGATGTAGTGTAAGCCCTTGGTCCTTGTCAGGTGGAATTTCTGCCTTTGCATGAGAGTATTTCCCCACAGTGTATTTGGTTTTATATTAGAGAGGTTTGGATTGGAAGGGACATTAAAGTCCATCATTTCCACCCCCTGCCATGGGCAGGACACTTTCTACAATCTCAGGTTGCTCCAAGCCCTGTCCTACCTGGCCTGGGACACTTCCAGAGATGGGGCAGCCACAGATTCTCTGGGTACCCTGTGCCAGGCCCTCCCCACCCTCACAATAAAGAAATGTTTCCTAGTATTAAATCCAAAACTTCCCAGAGTCAGTTTATTTCTGAACCTGAGCTTATACCTGCATTATCTTTGTGGGCACTTCTTTAGTTTCTTACCCTGCTTCTCCTGGCCATGAGAGTTGGATAGTGGGAGCAAGGGAGGCACGAGTGACACGTGCTTGGCTTGTCATGAAAACTTAGCCTGGATGTACTCTGTGGGATTATAAATATTTATAGTAGCTATGCAACTTGGTAACACTCATCGCTCAGCAAACATGACTTTCAGTAAAATAGAATAGCATTCTTAAATGCAAAATAAATGCAAAAAGAGCATTATGGAGGTAACAAGCTTTCTCTGAGGATGCAGCAGGTACAGCTGGGCTTTAGGACCAAGTGGATTAAACTGCTAAATTAAACATCCGAGTAATTTTTAGGGGAAAGTAAAGTCCTTTGGGATTGTGCTGCTGACGCCCTGCTCCCAGCTGTCACATGCTGCAGCTTTTTGGATGGGAGGAGGCCAAGGACTGAAAGTGGGCTGGGGTGACCTCGGACACGAGTCCACACCCTAGAGATGCTGCCAGCCAGCAGCCAGGGCTCCAAGTGACCCTTCAAGTTCTTCTCCTGCCATCTCATAATTGTGCATGCTTGGGATGATGAATATTGGAAGAGGCATAGCACAATTAAAGATCATCTGGGTTTGTTTTCATTAAAATAGAGATGTTATCTTTACACTTTTTTTATTGCTTTCCTCAGATTTTTTAATTAAAAGCTTTAGAAGCGAGGCGTTCTCATGAAGATCCCTTGTGTGAAAGGAGAGAGGGAAGCTGCGTTCCAGGCTGCAGAATATGATTTTGTTGTTTATTTATTTTTCCCCACATCCTCATAATGGAATTAGTTTTATTTACTTAATGCATATAAACAAAAGAAGTTGCAGTGTGCTTGCAATTATTTGTCCCAGGCAACTGGGGCAAGTCAGGGGTGTTGGCTGGAAGGTGCCCCATGTATAATACTCAACATGTGCTGGCTTTAATGGTTTGGCCTGAGCTCTGCATCTCTTTGGTCAGTGCTGTGCAGTTGTGAGCTCTGGACAGTTGTGTGCAGCATGCAGGGACTGGGTGGTGGGATGGGTAATGGGGAACACCCCAGTACTCCAGCTTTGGGAAAGGAGGAGCTGGGGCTGGGTTGCAGCCTTTGGAAGGATCTTGCCAGAAGAGCCTGGTTGCTGCTCCTGGGTCTGAGGCCACTTTGGTTTCGTGTCCTCCTTTTGTGCCCAGCCCTTGCTCCACTGTTGACCCACATCAGTCACACCTTGGCTATTCCTGTTTGCTCTTGATATTGCTGCCTTCCCCCAGCAACAGCCTGTAAATGTTTTCTTTGGCTCCAAAGGTGGCTGATTTGAGCATCTGTCAATAAGGAGTTATTTCCATATCTATAATATTTTAATAGAAGCTACTGTAGATAAATCCCAGGCTCTGCCCACAGGCTGGTGATGGGGGGACAAAGTTATGTGGCTGCTGCTCTACAGGAAACAAATTTATTACTGGAACAATTTGTCTTAAAACCCCATGTCATTAGGCCAGGATGATGCTGCTTCATTCTGACTATCAAAAGCAACAGCTGTGATTGGGGACATCACCTTTTTTAAATGCAGAACCCCAAGGACTTGTTAAGGGACAACTGCAGGTGTGCTAATGTGGGCCCTTGTGCTGGTGATGGATCCCTGGGACAGGAATTTGTAAATCTTCTGTAACTGGGGTAGGCATGTGCCTTGTGTAGGAAGAGCAATCTGTCCGTCCTGCTTTAGGGAAAGGATGGAGCTTGACGTGCACGGGGCATCAGTCTTAGGGTCTATTTTGAGGAGCTGGACCAAGTTCTTCCAAAGCTGTAAAGGTGTGCAAGGGTTTCTGATTTATGCTAATCAAATTTGTAAGTAAATAACGAACTCTAGGGCTGTTGCTTTAGACACAAGCTGATGAAATATTTCTGTGATTCTTGGCCTCCGTGTTCTGGTTTCTTGTTTATTGGTTGTTTAGGGGTTTTTTATTAAGCTGGATGACATTGCATTGCTCTGCGCTTCTTTTGACCCGATGCCCATGTCCTGTGATGGATAATTCACGCCTATTCATAGCAAAAGAGCACTTAAATGCTGTCACTTAAATGTTGATTGTTCGGAGATTAGGGATGGAATGGCTTTGTGCCTTTTATCTTTTCTGAACCATTTATTGTGCTCTGTATGCTGGATCAGATCCACCCTGATCAGTGCTCCCTGAGAAATGATTGTTGCAGACAACATAATGGCTTTCATATGTCATTTTCTGATTTCCAGCTTGTGCTTTAAAAATGTTGGTGGAATAATGGGTTTCTGTAAGATTACTGTAATTCAAAAGGTCATCTAGGTAATAATTATCTTATGCATTTGGCTTAAGGAATTCAGAAACACAACATGAATTCAAATTCTCTCTTTCCAGATTGAATGATTAAATTCTGCATGCAGATGTCCCAGAATATAAAGACCAGACCTAAATTTAGAGAGAGCTTTCACAAAAAAAGTTGATTAATCTTGGTACAAATTGAAAATTTAATTTATATCTTGATTGAACTTTTGACAAAACAGTTAGCAGAAGTGTGTTTAAAGTATTTCAGTGAAAGTTTCAGCAGCAGCAAGGTGAGATAATGGTCTCTAGTTCCCAATGAAACTGTCAATTTAAGAAAGGATTCTAAATCATAGGTTTTAAACCCATTGTTTCAGACATCTGAAAATTAATGAAGATGCTACAACATACTGTGAACTGGGACATATTTTGGTCCTTTCTGGTCCTTGTGTGATCCCATCATCTGCAGGATTCAGCAATGGGAGTGATTGTTTTGTTATTTTAGAAAGTATTATATATTAAATCTTAAGATTAATTAGCGATTTAATATAAATATTATAGTATTTAAGAAAATATTATATTTGTTGATAAATAGTTTATTATTAGTTCTGTGTGCAACTGTTGAAATGTGTGTATGTGCCTACAGGTTTTGCTTAACTGAGATCTGCTATGTACAAGACTGAAATATAAATTTTTTGAGAACATAACGGATCAACTCTCCTGACAGCAAAAACACTTTTATTCCTGTGAACTTGAAATCCCATTATGGGTTGGTGCTGCAAGTTGGAGTTTTTGTACTCTCTGTTCTCATATGCCAGTGGTCTGAAGATTTATGTCCTTAGCTACCAGCATTTGGTCAAGTTAAACACACTCTCAAGATTTTGGTGTGGAACTCAAAGCCATAATTCTCACCTCTGTTCAGTTCGGTTAGGTCTTAATTTCAGCTCCTAAAATGTAGATGAGTAGGTGGGTTTCAGATCTCTGCCTGCTCCTCAGTCTTGGACCCATAAGTGTAATATGTCAGTCTGTTCCCTCCCTCCCTTCCCACCCCTTCCAGAAAACGGGTGGCACAATTGCTGTTTTGAGAAATTTTAGTTTTTGGAGATCACAGTGAATCAAATATTTGTTTATTCTTCTTTCTGCAGGTCTTTTTGGTTCAAGTTAATCCAGGTGAAACCTTTACAATAAGGGCTGAGGATGGAACCCTCCAGTGCATCCAAGGTAAGAGGATGCACAAACCTGTGCATGAGCATTGCTTTGCTTTGTGGAATACCTGTTCTGTCATTTCCTAAAACGTGATATGCAGCTCTGAAAATGTACTGAAGCACTGGGGAGTGAGAACTTGCAGACGTGGCTGCTCTCTGTTTTCTAGGAGTTCAGTATCTCAGAATGAGTCATGCATTTCTTGGAAGTCCAGGAGGATTTCTCTCTTCTGTTATTTATCAGTCTCATCTTGCAGCCTCTTTGCATCTTTGCTGTGACACCCCCTCCATTTAAACAGTGGAGGAGTGGGTGGTTCTTGCTTGAAGTTTCATCCCCATGGAAATGATGAATTAATAGTTGTTTGAGATAGACGTTACAGAAGCTTCCCTGAACACCATCCAGGGTTATTTGGTCTTGATGAGCAATAATAACAGCAATTTAAAGCTGCTTGTTGAGATTTATAGCCAACATGCTGTGTGGTAAGAAATTGGTCCATGTGGCAATTAACAGAGGAATAAAGCTGACTACTCCTTTTATTTGAAAAGAATGCTTTATTCTGGCTTAGTACATGAAAGATTTCCATTACAAATATAATTATGACCCCATTTATTTATAATTTTGTTCATGCTCAAAGCGGTGCTCAGACAGTGTATTTAAATGAATGCAACTTGAAACCTCATGGCTCTATATTCCCAGTAATTTAAGGTGTTTGTGCCAATGGGACTTGTTTGGTACTCATCAGAAGTCTTTCATAAAATTGATTTAGAATTTCCAGCTTAAGATTGTCTCCTTTTATTTGCTATAGCTGCAGTGTTGACTGCCAAGGCTCATGTTTATTTGTATACACCCTTGCAATTTGGCCTGAAAAATCGTGATATTCTTTTCAAGCTAAAGCTTCTGATACTACTTTATTGTAAAATATTTTTACTGCTGAACTGTGTACATGCTTCAAACAAAGGAAAGCACCTGTGTTGCTGTTGTATTTTTGTTTTTTTTTTTTCTTTTGGTAAAGCTGCTCATACCATGCAGTTGTGGAACTTAATAGTGATCCATTGCAGAAAATCTGTTGTAATCAGTATGCAAATATAAGATTTGGCTTCATGACAGTTCTGGTTTTGAGCTCTGTTATTATAGAAGACAGGCTTATTTTGTGTGCAGTGTTTCTGGAAATTACACACCTCCTTGCTTCACGAAACTTGGTGTCTTTTTTTTTTCCTCCAGTGATAGACTTTTTGGTATGTTTAAAGGTTATAAAATGTTTAGTATTTAGAGGTGGATGTATTCCCTATACATAGGGCAGCAGTCAGACAATAATGATGCATTTTCCAGTGCTCCCACACTGCACTATGATTAGCAGGATAAGGAATAATTTTAGCACTATGTTAAGGCAGTATGAAAGTCTCTTTTTGGGCAGTGCCTCCCGCCTGGTAGCTCCCTGTGGAATAGATGATACTTGCTTTTTCCTTACTGCCACGTACTCAGGGCTATGACATAAGATGTGCTGCTGAATATTCTGAGTGTGAAGGATTGCTTTATTACAAATTGGGTGATTCTCCTGAGTTCAGGGAGTGAACACTGTTAATAAAAAACTTGAGATGTCAGGCTTGGTAACACTGAATTCTTCAGGATATACGAAAGTTCTTCCCCTTTGGCATGTGACCGTTCTGCAGGGACAGCTAGCTTTGCTTATGCAGTTTTTTTTTTTTTTTTAATGTGTATGACTTTTTGAGCAGTATAAAGTCTGCAGGTTATGCTCCTGGAGCCAGTTCTGGAAGTTCTGTGAACACCACTTTGTGTCCAGAACCCTGTTTGGCTGCACAGCTGTGGTATATCTGGTGATGATATGCTTTAGAGGACTGAGGCAAAAACAACAGAGAAGAAGATGACTTAGTGAATCTTCATTTGTCTTATCAAGGTTGGAAGAAAGATGCTTGCTTGAGTAAATTCTCTATGGAATATCCTCTGTTTCAAACGCCCTGAAGTGTAATTAGCCACTAATTGAGTAATCACTGTTTTAAGCCAGAAAGAACAGATGCACATTTGAATGTTTCTGATGTTTTGGAGTGGTGGAGAAATCTCAAATACAAAAACTCTTTTCCAGTTCCTCGAAGTTGCAGCAGTAAGATAATCAGTGAAAACTTTAAAAATAATAATCCCTAAATAATAAAAAACCAGGAATACTTATGTATTTGTAACTGAGGATGCAAGGTGTTGCAGCAAGTGCTCTCGTCATTGCTGGGTTTTTTTGGGTTTTTTTTGCATGTAGTTGAAGATGGCTTGTTTAAGACAATGATTTATAAGCACTGTAGATGATGGTGTGGACCTGGCTTAGGCAGCTCTTGGAAATTATGGTGGCTGGGAAAAGTTCAGCTGGTCAGTGGGCATGGAGAGGGTCTGTGGTCTCATTGAAAGAAAGATTTAAAGAGAAAAGAAATAAAATAAACTCACAGTAAATCTGATCTTCTGGAGAAATCCAGCCCTTAAGTGCACAGTCCACATGGTGAGTTGTTTAGGGAAGCATCTGAACAGTTCCAGGTGCTCTCAGCAGGAGTTGTGTTGTTGTCTGACTTCCTCAGGATTTGCCTTCTCCATCCCGTGTGATAGAAGAGATGCTGTGGCATGTGACTTTGGTAGCCTTTGTAACAACAACAGCCAAATAAAGGAATAAAGAAAAGGGATGTTGGGGATTGACTAATTTTTTTTTTAATAGTTTCTAGAAGCTGGATCAAGAGGAAGCCTGTGACCTGAGGCTGAGTGGATGGGAGGCACGTGGTGCTGCCCAGCTGGGCTGTCAAACACCCCAGGGCTTGCTGAGTGCTGGGGCTGGCCACCTGGCCTGTGGTATGGAGTGGAAACATAAAGCACATCCTTTATTCATGTGTGATTACATGGCCAGCCTTTGTTCCTTTTAGTCCATGTGGGTGTTAATGACAAATTATTGGTGTGCTTCCTTTGGGATTTCTCTGCTCACCCAGAATGAGCCTGAGGCTCTGACTGCAGAGCTGCCCCTCTGGGTGGCTCAGGGGAGACTGATTTAGGGTCTTCATTCAATGTCTTTGGAAGATGGAACATGTGTTTGTGCTCTATCATCAGTATTTTAAAAGCTGCTCTTTATATAAAGTTTGACAGATATTAAATACTTCATAAATATGTCAATACTTTAAATGCTTCATTTCCTTTTCACATATTCACATTTTATTTGTCAAAAACTCAGGACTTGACTAGCTAGCTCTGCAAGAAAAGGACGCGGGCAGGGCATATCCTCAGCCATTTCTTTACTCAGCTACTAACTACAGATCTTTTATTTCCTTTGTATGAAAGATTGCTTCTAGCTAGTGCTTTGTGGTTACCACAATAAATGAAATATGGAGCAGAGTGAGAGCCTGGATCTGTTAACTACAGAATGGAATTTAAACAGAACCCTAAATTAAAAAAAATAAAATTATTCTGCTTTCTAAATTTCAGAATAAATAGATATTTATTGGGATAAATTTCAGAATAAATAGATCTCATTGAAACTGACATGTTCAAGAAACTCAGTTTCCCTAGTGGCTGGTTAAAGATGAGGTTTTTTAGCCAATACCTTAAGATCTTTGGTAGGAACTTTTGTTGCTGCCTGAGAGTTTTGCCATTCACAATTTAAAAAATCACTGTTTGTGCATAGTTTGGGGCAGTGAAGCTGCACTTGAGAATCTGTTCAGAGCTTTTCCCTCCTGGAAGGCAATAATGCCAAGCTGTCACACCTGCTGTGGTAGGAATAACATGGACAGAATGATTATTCTGGTGCCACCTGACCTTGCTTGTCACCCACACGTTGAAAATATGTATGTACAGAGTATGCAGGCTGCATATCCATTGATCACACAGAATTACCCAATTATTGCTAAATGCCCTTTTTATTGCCACCCATGTAAATGCTCCTCAACCTGGATCTCATTTTCTGCCACAAACCAAACTGAATTTTTTGTATGCCTGTAAAGCTGCAAAAAACTTGTAACAAGGTAGAACAGGTAGCAGAAAAGCAGCTGATGGAGTAAAAACTGGAATTCCTGGTAATTTCTGCCTAACTCATGCTGCTGGAAATACTCTTTAAATTCACCTCTAGTCTTTGTCTTTTATGCCAGCACAAGATTTGGAATAGTGAGGAACAAAATTTGCCTGAAAAGAAAACAAATATGCTAAAGGATTAAAAATTCTGCTTTAATTCTCGCCTGGAACAGGGGAAATTCACCCTTGCATAGGCTTAGCAAGGCTCTGCATTAAACAAGCTTTTGTGATTTATTCAAGGACAAGGTACAGATGTGCAGTGGCATGGAGGAATTGTAGTTATGTTGGAGCATAAATATCTGTGTTGCAGACAAGGACCTAAATTGGTTTTGGATAGTTGCATTTTGAAATGAAAACAGGACAAAACATAGACAGTTTACTAATACTGGTATTTATTTCAAGTGACTTTTTTTTTTTCAAATGTTTTGCCACTGAGGCTGAGCTTGAAGTCTTTGTTTCTTCTTACCTTGTAAAACAAAGAATGCAAGAATTAAATTTCAGTGCTGCTTTTACTGTGGCTCTAAAAGTGAGTAACTCAAGAAAAAGACCAGAAGTATGCAAAAAATCTAGCAGTGATTTCTCAAATGAAAGATTTCCTGGAACTAATATTCCCTTAATTCGGTGGATGGGTGTGGTTTGGTGTGGTAGTGCAAAGGAATGGATAATATTAAAGGCTTAACAGCTGTATATTTGTATAGGAAGAGTGTGTATGTCAGTGAAATGAGGCTGTTAGTGTAGTCCAAGCAAATTAAACAAAGTGTGTATTTTTTCTCCTTTATGGTATGAGGTTGGAAATGAGGAAGTGAGTCAGTTTCTTGCAGGGGAGGAAAGAGTTGAAAATAGATGGGACATAGTGTGAGCAAATGAGTGGTACCTGTGGAGTGTTCCTGGGACAAAGGCACCAGGATGAGAGTGGTGGTGGGCACATGGTGATGGTAGGAGATGGATCATAGAGTCACAGATTGGTTTGG